AACTTTTTGATGAAATGCTTTGATACTCAAAATATTTATATGTATTTAAAGTGTAGACAAGACGACATGATCATCATGCACATGCATGCATATGCATGCACGTGCGCGCGCGTGCAATGTGTTAAATGACCAATTTACTTAATATAGCCGTACGTTTTATATTTTTTGATGAAAAGCTTTGATATTAAGAATATACAGATATATTAAAAGTGTAGACAAGATGATTTGGCCATCATGCACATGCATGCACATGCGCGCGCGTGCAATGTGTTTAATGACCAATATACTTAATATAGCCGTAACTTTTATATTTTTTGATGAAAAACTTTGATACTAAGAATAAACAGACATATTATAAGTGTACACAAAGTGGCATGGTCATTATGAACATGCAGGTGCGCGTGCGCGCAATACTAAGACGACCAATATACTTGATATAGCCGGAACTTATATATTTTATGATGAAATGTTTTGATACTTAGAATATAAAGATGCATTTATAGTATAGTCGGAATGACATTGTCAACCTGCACATGCATGCACGTGCGCGCGCGTGAAATGCGTTAAATGACCAATATACTTAATTGCTTTATTTAATGAAGCTTACAGGTAATAAGACACCAAAAGGGAGTTGGGGAGCGTTTGGGGAACATCTGTAACGGTCCCCGTTACAATTAATACTAGTTGAAGTTTGTTTTAATTCAATATAAGCATGATTCTTTGGAGGGAAACCAACGGACTCAGATGATAATCATTTGTAGAAAATGTGAAAACTTTACAGATGGATCTGTAGTTTTTTGGTATGTCTGAGTATCTTTTCTTCACTAAAGAGCTTAACTCTGTATAGAGCTACAGCTGTATCTCTGCAGCTTCAATGTATGTGAACACGAAGTGATCAGTAAGAAATATTGGATCTAATATCATTAATAATTACTTAGGAACATGCACTCACTGACGGGGTTTCCCTCTCCTAAACGCATCATATGTTAAAATTCCTTACATTAAGTTTGTTTGCGTATGCATGACTACTTTCTTCTACCTGTTCATGAACTGCATAATATTCGTAAACTTTATGTTTGACTAACAGTCGTTTTAGACTTTTAGTTCGAAATTTCTTCAACTCACAGTAAATGTCGGTTCTAAGAATACAATTACTTGCTTCCGGTAGGAGACATAAAATATGAGAACAAATGACTTCCTGTCTCAGCAGCCGAGAGAGAATTAAAAATTTTGGCAGTAGCTACGATGATGGTTTTTGTACACGTGACTTACATGTACCCGCACGTTTCCAAATATTCTAATGGGACAGACATAATACTTTTGATGTTTTCTGCAGGTAGCTTAATTCCAATGATTGCATAGCACCGTTGTATACCACTGGTCAGCATTTCACAAGTGTCTTGCTCGTTCTGTGCAAGCACAGTGCTCACTGATTCTGAAAAAAAATGGTGTAAACTTGACAGGTGCTCCTCTAATTTCATTATTCATTCAGTTTTAGTGTAAGAGAAAACGACCAGCCCGTCGTATAGCATATAATCTCACCTTAAACTAGTGTAGAAAGTAATGAGCTCTGGGAGAAAGGGGCACAATCTAGCAATACTGAGCAAGAAAAGTCATAAGATGTATTTGAGGCAGACGTATTTTAGGGACACAACCGTAACGCTTTTTTCTATATATTAAACATTTTCAAATGTAAAAGCATTTATTTTATTGTGTGAAGTTTCATTCAGTTTGATGAAATGGATTTCATATTACTTAATTTAAAAATAAATATCATGTTTTATCCCCACGGAACATACTAAACAACATTGTAACGTAAAAAACAACGCTATGAAAGTTTCTGAAAATTTCTCTCTCTCGCTAATTCTCATAGTTTGTAGCGTCTTACCCATTCATGTAGCGTCTTACCCATTCAATAATAAAAATGTCTCCATAACACGTCATGCTTAGCTTACATGATAAATATAATTAATGCATTAGACAAAGGAATTAATGTTGTGCAATCTGTAACTTTGATATTTTATTAGTCCCCTACCGGTGAAACCGGAGGGGACTATAGGTTTCCTCTGAGTCTGTCCGTCTGTCTGTCTGTCCGTCTGTCTGTCTGTCCCACTTGGTTTTCCGCACTTTTTTCCTGAACGCTTGCAGTTATTGAGCTGATTTTTGGTATGTGAGTGTATCTTGATGAGTTACAGATCAAGTTTGCATTTCATTCCGCTTCATTGATTTTTGACGGAATTATAGCCTTTTTCAATTTTTCAGGGTTTTCCGCAATTTTCTTCTAAACGCTTTGAGATATTGAGCTGATTTTTTGGTATGTGACTTGACCTAGATTAGTTATAGATCAAGTTCGCATTTCGTTCCGCTTCATTGATTTTTGACGGAATTGTGGCATTTTCAATTTTTAACGGGAACCAGATTACTTGCCGGTAGGGGACTAGTATTGCTAATGCAATGCTCTCAGAATGCTTGTTTTCTTTAGACATTATAGAGTATTATTAGTAAATTACTCAATTTTGACAGTGCTGTCATGTTGTCAATTTTGAATTTACCGGATAGCAGGGAATACAGAATTTACAACATGACTTGTTTTTATGACCTGGAAAATTTATTCAGGGGTCATACCTGCAAGATTTGTTTTGAATAGATAAGTATATGCTGGCAAAACTTTTGGGGGCAAGCCTACCCTCGGTTCCTACTGGCTTGAACAGAACTCAGACTACATGAGGATATGAGCTCCCAGGGTGGGAGCCATTGGTAAAACTAGTAAATGACTACACTGTATAATCTTAAAGATTCAGTGGATCAATTGTTATGATTTTTATCCGAATAGGACTGGTGAACATGTACTACAAGTAAGTACATGAATTGTATATGATACATAGAATACTGTATACTAAAATTCGTCATATTAGGCCTTAGGACCACTCGAATTGATATTACATAAATGGATTTTGGTATGTAATACTCTGCACTTAATGTTGTCATTCCGAAACTTTTGATTTAATCAAAGGTTTTATACTTTGTTTTCTAATGGATTTTAAAACATAAAATTATGATATATATGTATTTCACAAAAAAAATCATAATTTTCAGCGTACTTGGTCCTAAATTTTATAATTCATAAACGTATATATATGTTACCAATGTCAAACAAATAGTATTTTAATTCTTTTTTTTTAATCTTCCTTTTTCCATGAGATCTGAGGTTTTTGAATTCAGTCATCGAGAACAAGATTTTTGAACTTTTCTAGTTGGTCGAGCGGTCTAACACGCTGTTCCTATACTGCTAGGAGAGAGCTTCCGCGCATTCGAGAGTTGAACTGCATATGTGGGATAGCAACTTGAAAACTTCTTTACTTTTTATGAAAAATAATTTTCAGTTTTTGGTTGTTTTTAATGGATGCCCCCTCCCTGCTCCCAATGTCTCAAGGGAAAAATTACTAGATCCGTACATGTCATCAACAAAACTGTAAAATGGGTTCTGGACTGTTATTGCATGTATTCTTCAGTTCTGTGTACTTAATGTTATCGACATTCACAACACTGGAACAAAAAAACTCATTTTCCATCATGAAGTTCAAATATGTCTGGGGGGGTTTTTCACAATAATTATATAATTAATATTATATAATACAAAGTGTATTTTAATGATACTCGTATTCATTTCCTGTCTTATTACACATAGCAAATTTTGCTTTTCTGCTGCATCAGTGGTTTTTTCTTATAGAGTAGACCCTCGAGGACTTACAGTCCACCAGCAGAGGCCTCGACCCAGGGATCATAATGTAAATCATATACGGTACCAATTTTAATGCACCAGATGCGCATTTCGACAAATTATATCTCTTCAGTGATGCTCATACCGAAAGGTTGGAAATCCAAAATATTTAAATAAAAAGACTTTGAAGAGCTGAAAAAAGGTGCCAAAGACTGGGACCAAATACGTCGAAGGATCAGAGCTTTGCATGAGGGAGATAATCCTTAATTTTGAAATAAATTTCTAAATTTTACCACAGCAATTACATATATATATATATATATATCCGTATTTTGAAGCTAGTACATGTACCGAAGTACGTAGCTACTGTAGAGACCCTCGGGAATTTTATTTTGTTTTTTGTTTGTTTGTTTTTTTTTGTATATGGATTTTGACATCTTGAGTATTAGGGCTCTCCAGGTAAATAACACCAGTACTACTAAGACCACTCCCCCTCCTCAGGTAACCGTACGGTAAAAAAAAAATTGGTTCTTAAAGTAAACTGAGAATAATATTTGCAGTTGTGAAATACATTGCTTCTTTTGATGTATTTAAAAACATCTTTTAAAAAACTGATAATTACACAATGACGTTTTAAGGGATAAACAAGGTTTGAGACAAAGTACTCTGTCCCTTTGTAATGATAAATCTAGACTCCGAAGGAGATACTCGCTGATGAAACAACTAATTTTGTTAAATATGACATTTTGAGAATAAAAATATGACAAATATTTAAATTTGAAAATTATTTAGTTGAATAAATAAGTTACATTAATAGACAATGTGGATCACAATAAATAGACATTTTTTTTTTATAAAAAGTTTCCACACGATGAAATAGCTGGAAAAATGTTACATTCCTGTTTTCATTCCAAAACCAGAGAGAAGACATTTCAGGGTTTCTAGAGAGCCAAACTTTGTTTTTTGCTTTGACTCGGTATGTATCAAAAACAAATGAGTTCGATACCCACTGAATGTCACATTATGTTGAAATAATTTTCTTTGGAACCAGTCGTGGGAATTAAATGCAAAGTTAAAAAATAATTTAGAATTGATAAAATCACAATGATTTATACATGTTTGTAGTCTGTGATAAATTAGGATCGTTATCCTTTATTAGATACAAATGTGTTTAAAATATTCAAATTTACCTACCAATGGCAAGCAGCAGTGAAAATATCAAAACCTTCATCCTTTAGGAAAACCTGAATTCTACGTTTGAAGATAATTTATTCTTTTCGAGGAAACACCCTAACACTTTATCATATGACTATAATCTGTGATTTATCTGTGTTCACACGTCACAGTTTTTCTCACCACAAACATGTTACCCAGCAAGAGCTTTTTCCCCTTCTTTGTCGAAGTTGAGAAATCCAGGTAGGGAAACAATCACACTTCAGCTTTACAGATTCACACAGACAAAATGGGAACCTATTGACTATTAACTATTCTATTAACTTTATATAATTTTCAGCGTTTTGACCACAGAAGACACATTTGATTGTAACCTGGAATACTGGAGGGAACATGTACATGTATTTCTTGTATTTTATGTCCACATATTACAAGTGAAAATAAAGGATCATTGCCTATACTGGCTTAGTTCTATATCAATAAACAACATTGATTTTTTTTTTATTCTATGCTGGCTCAAGTTGGATTGAATTTTTATACTCACACTTTTTCTATGTAAAAATTGCCATACAAAATGTGAAATATATATGTCTAGAAGTTTGAAATAGTGTCGTAGAGCAATGTGCCCAAAAGAAAACTTCATAGATGAAAGATAATTGTCCATTCGCTCAACAAGTTGCGGAGAGCAATAACTTAGCGATCGCGAGCTTTGATCAATCAAAACTCAAGGGGATGCTCTGCTTTCAGGTGATCTTGTTATTTCCTGCAAACGAAATTTAGAAAGATATTTTTTAAATCTGTTTCTCATTATTATGTTTTTCAAACGAAGTTTGGGAACATATCTTTTTTATTTACTCTGATTTTTATTAAGGTATTCGATCCACAACGGACTCTTTTTATTATTAGTCCTTCGTAATATTGTAAAATCTGGTTTATATGCATTGTGCAAAACAAGACATCAACTAGGCAGTGAGAAAAACACTTTCGAGATTATTGCTCTCCAGCGATAAAGGCAGTCTCAGTAAATATTTTGGTTACGTTGTTGGTGTACAACATTCTGCCCAACTTTTTTTTTACGAATTAAAATATTTGATTCAGTTTTAAATATTTTTATTATTCCCAACAATCAAATTGAATTCGAATTAGCATACATATACTGGATTTCTAAACTACATAAAAATCCTTACAAACAAAGACACATTGTGTGTTCCAGTAAATGCTCTATCAATCCCTTCTTTACTCCTCTCTAAAATTTTAAAAGCAATGAAAGAGAAACTTCAGGAATACTGTACTACAACATATTTGAGAAGTGGCGTAAATCAGATGTGGATACTTAAAAACTTCAAGGAACGTTTAGAAAATTTGACAAAAACAAACTTTTTTACCAAAATCAATAACATCAAATTCAAGGACTTTTCAACACTCTATACAAGCATTCCCCATGATAAATTGAAGTCAAGGCATTTTGACATCGTAGACAGCTGCGTTTTCGATATAAATCGAATTTGCAAGTTTACTAACCTTGTCATTGGTAATTTACAAATCATTTTGTTTAAAAAACAATCTGATTGTACACAAAAGTACTCTGAAGTTACATCAAAAAGATGCTTATTAATAATAAGTTTTTGATTGAACTAATATCTATGTTGCTTTGAAAGATCGTCTTCCAACAATCTGTCGAATTCCCACGGGTACCAATTGAACCCCCGTTATTAGCAGACCCAATTTTTTGTATTCATATGAAGCAGAATTTATTCAAAATGTCTTTTTTTCTGTGGCCTTTTCAAATCAACATTCAGATATATCTATTAACAATATTCATTTTCATTCATATCAATTGATTTCCCTTTGAATTCGAAAAAATACCACAGAGTCCGAGATATCTGTTTCATATTTGGATATTTCACTAGAAGAATGTTAATAAAAACCTAACAACAAAACTTTATGATAAATTTATTGACTTCAACTTTTCTGTCGTCAACTTCTTTTATTTCTGTAGCAATATACCGTTAACAAATGCGTAATAAGTTAATGTCACCTAGTTGACTGGGCACACAGAAGCATGTTCTACTTACGAACAATTTCTAAAACGAGACAAGCTATTGACAAACAATTTGATGAAACAAGGATATGAACAATCTCGTTTAAAATCAAACTTTGGCAGATACTATGGTCGATATAATGACCTTGTCAGCAAATGCGATCTATCATTTTTCTTACACATTGTAAGGCCATTATTTACATAATGAATTGTCTACGGATTTTTCCGTATCCGATCATGACAAGGAGCACAAGGCAGGTGTGACCGGCTGAGAAGTGATGCTTTTTCTTCCATGACACCTGATCCCACCTCTGATGTTTTGAGAGGTCCGTGTTGCTCTGCTCCCAGACCTGTATTGTTTCAATGGACTTTTGAGTTTACTTTTTGTACGTTAAGATTTTAATATTTACTCATTTTAAGAGTACTCGGGTTTTCATCGTAAAGGTATGTATAGTAAAAAAACTATAGTACAGTGGCGCCTCGTTTATCCGGACGCCTCCGTTCCCAACGAAAACGTCCGGATAAATGAATCGTCCGGATAAGTGAATCGCTTCTAAAAAAAAAAACCCTTCTCCAAGCATGTGTATATGCACATGCTGGTATCAATTGTAAAGGCAAAGGGAAAAAAACTGATATTTGGTTTAAACTTTTTATTTTTTAGCTTTAAAAGAAGTAATTAAGTAAAGAAAAAAATATATTAAAATGTAATTTATGCGATAAAAAAATTGATACTAGGCAATTTTATGCTGAGACCTTTTTTAACGCAGGTTATTTTATTCGCCTTCTCTTTTGGCGTGAATTCATGAGCTGAGAAAATTTTGATCTACTGTTGTTTTATTTCACTATCTTTTATAATTATTATAGCTCATATAATATGACAGAACTGTTCAGCATCAGCATTGAAAATGTTCAAATATAAACTAACCCTGTATATTCCCGTATATTCTTTACACAGGGCTACTATAGTAACTGAACACTTCAAGCTATCTCAAACACGCGCAATCAGTGGAAGTATTGTAAACATTCAACATAAACACAAGCAATCTTAATGATTATCAATTATTTTTTTCTAAAGACTCTAAGTTTGAATTTCGATCACAAAAAATACCTTGAAAAAACGTAATCAACTTCTATACGTAACGCCAGCTTTATATTTCTTTTCTAAAGTAACGTACGTTTATAGACGGTAGTAAATTAAATAGAAAGATATTTCTTTTCTGCCTAATGTAGAAAAAAGCGTTTCAAATACATTTACGTTTTTAGAAATAGAAAATCATATTTTAAACTAACAGTCAACATGATCAAGACCATTACGAAATCGCTCGTAATTTATTGTTCTTTTTATTTACAACTCTCCAAAATTCTCGATGTATATACGGTTAGCAGTATGATTTTGAACGGATTATAATTTAAGTAATGCACAGTGTAAGCGAAATTCTTCGAGTTTCATAATAGACGTGTGATTTAATTGGGGTAAACACATAGATTAATTATAGACGCTTTTGTCTGTAGGTCACAGGTAACCGCCTTTAAACTGACTACATGGCCAATGTTTTTACAACAATTAACACTACTGCAAGATGGGTGAGAAAAAGCCGTTTCTTGAAAAATTACCGTCCGGATAAACGATTCATTTTTTCAACGAACTATTACTTTTTGTAGTAGAAATCGACCGTCCGGATACGGAACGCGAATTTCCGGATTAATGAGACAGAATAACGTGGAAAAAATCGGTTCCCCAAAAATATCGTCCGGAAGGTGAAGCGTCCGGATAAATGGCGTCCGGATAAACGCGGCGCCACTGTATAAAATTGCCAGTCCCAAGACTTTAACGAATAGTGATGATAACTTACAATTGATGATGAAGATGTAAATGAAGGTGGTATACAGCTAGCATGTTCTCTTACATGTATTTATAAAAGTGAGACAATGTTGTCTACTTTATATACACGAACATGTAACAAGATATTGAGTTCCTAGTCCTGATGTTTAATATCTTACAATTCGACATCAAGATCTGAAAGTCAATATAGATATCTGACGAGTAATCAGATATCTGACATGTAGACAAAAACATCTGACAAGTGGTGGCAGAAATATGTCACCATTGTGGCAACATACTTTGAAAAAATTACGCATTTTGAAAAAAAATTTCAAAGTGCGTTAAATTTGGGACAAAATCAGTTGACGCACTCTGAATTTTTTCTTCAAAGTGCGTTAAGAGTGTATATCAACATTTTTTAGCATGGAAACACTTGACGCATTTTGAAAAACTATGTATAAAGCAAAAATTCTGGACTTAGATTTTAGTAATAGAAAGCATTATTTTTGTTATATTTCTTTCGAAAAACTGATGATTTGACCTACCCTCATTGAGAACGAGGAGAAGACAGGTTGAAGGTCCCTCAAGCCAACTCTATAATCTTCTCTACCCAAATACATGTATTTACATAAATGGTATGAGATTGATATTCTCTCTCTCTCTCAATGAATTTGATTTAACGTAAAATGGATGAAAAAATTGAGAAAAGCTTTCCTGAAAAAAAAATAATAATAACGCACCCTATAATATTAAAGAAGAGAAGCTCAGAGGCCATATTGCTGACCTAAGCAACAATAGCCAACTGACTATACTTTGGCCAAAGTAACTTTACAAAATCAAATACAATAAAAAAAAAAACAAGAAGCCCAAGGGCCTTAACGGTCACCTGAGTATAATACACCACTGTAAAGGATCCATAGAAGTATTAAACAAAATTAACTGATAATTGAAGCTAATTTGGCAAAGAATTTCAAAAATCTGGTAAAATTACCCTTACTTATCATAACAAATGAGACCCGCGTGATCTCCTTGGGATCGTACTTGGTTTTCCCAAGTCTTACAGGGATGATAATGAATGCAAAATATTCAAATACAACGGACACTTGCCTAGTGTGTAAGGTATTCAATATATACAGATATTGTTTTTGTCACTTGCCTAGTGCTACAATTGAGTAAACAGAGAGAAATCTCTGTTGCCTGTATATTTACTCGTGGTGATGCCTCTTGGCTTCTCAAACAACTT